TTTGAAAGTAAATATTAAAAAACACAGATAAACATCGATTTTTATGTGTCACATGGTATGTTGAATTCAGCACTGGTTCAAATTAGATGTTTGTGAAATTAAAGTACTAAGTCTATAGTTTTCTACAAATTAGAAACTCAAATTACCAATATTGACTGCTAGAATATAAAATAAGAACACCTTTTCTATTTGCTAAGATATTGCTTATGTAATAAAAATCAAACACAGTGGCACCACACCCACCTCTTTCCATTTTTGGAAATGCTTCTTTATTTACACTTCTATATATGACATGAATAACCAATCAGTTGCTCAGAATGTCCCCCTAATGGCTTTCTCAGCCATTTTAATGGGCTTGGATGCCATTTCTTTCTTTTGAACCAATATTCCAAGGAAGTAGGTTGTGTCTTTAGTCTGCTCAAAATTTCATATTTTATTTAAAACTAAAATACATCTTAGTTACTAAGCTTGTTAAATTATAGTGGAATTCTATATGTATTGATATAGTAATTTATGATTTTTTAGTTATTCAAATGTATATATAAAACCTAAAAATAATTTTGTTTTATATCCTCCACTTGCAAAATGTTTAAAGGCTTAGCAACTTACGTTTGCAACTTATAATTGTTTGCTGTACTTCTTTAGTTACTGTTCTATGTTTTAAGAAAAATAAGTTTAAGAACTTATTTAAAAATTGCAATAATCTATATATACATGTGTAATGTATAATAATTGAAATGTGACTGAATGTTACAAAATACTAGTCAACTAAAACACAGCCAAGACAAGTTACTTTGTACAGATCAAAGGTCAATTTTATGTTATTGGATAATGTAACATGAGTGCATGTTTGCTGCATCATTGTAACTTCTGTATTGTTAGCCAGGCAAAACTGAAAGGTCAATATAATATAAATAATAAATATATATAAATGTATAATGTTACAAGATTTAAGCTATTTAGTCTAAACATTTATATTTTCATGTTATAATTTGTGTTCATTCTAGAATGAAAGAGGCATAACTTATATTTATTACCTACTTTTTTATGGTGGTTACAGGATCGGTCAAATCTACCAAACCCGTACAGAGATTCCTTACTGAAAATAACAGATAAAATATAAAGTTTTTCTAAAGAAATGTTTGATAACTATTTGGACATTATGAAGATTCCTCATGTGAAATTTGAAAATTTTCTGATGCATAAAAGTATTCTCAATCTTAAAATGAAAATTATTTTGCATGTTAGATAGGCAACATGTGAAAATGAAAAAAAAGCATGAGAAAAACATTGCTTTACAAACCTTAAGACTTGATAAAACAAATTGATATTTTGCTTATGAAAGCATTGTAATAATGCTCAAAGACAGCTTGAGTGGGTAATGAAGAAAAACTTTAGTATAAGTTTAACATAACAGCAAATTTACAATGTTTTGGCATGGTTTTTGTCATCATCAGGTACAATGATCACAAAACCTTGATTTTTATTACCCATTCAAGCTGTCTCCAAGCATTATTAGTCATCAAATTTGAAAGCATTGTAATGTTTACTGATAATGTGCCAAATTTTGTTAACATTCCCTTACTAATTTCAAAGTTATAGCATGAAAACTATAAGAAGCACAAAATGGTTACGAGGTTGGTTCCAGAGACTGAGCCCTTGCTGAAAGACTTAAGTGTTTTTTCTTCTTTATTTCAACAGTGAACAGCTTTTTCTCAGCAGATGACATGTTAAGCATAGAAAATAGCCTTGACCAGGAAGGCAGCAAAACCACTGGACATGTAGATTTATTTGGTTCATCCCCAGAGCCAAATGAACAGGTATATGTATACATATAAATACATATGTGTAATACTTGATATTTTCAACATCTATTTCTCTGTAGAGAAGTGTGTTAGCTACTTATATTTTAAATCAACGTACTATTTATTTTGTTCTCCTCAAACATAAAACATTACCTTTCCCATTACGAAGTCAGATAATTAAGAAAATATATATTATAATACAGGGTGTCTCAGCAATCACTGGACTAATGGTTACAAATACATTTATTTACTTAAGCTGATACCTCATGAAGTTTTCTGTGATTGTTGGGGATGGTTTAGCTGAGTTTTGGTACTGAGCATGAAGCTCACCAACTACATCATGTACAGTCCTATGACCATCCTTATACAGGAGTACCATTTCAACCCATTCTAGTATTCCATACTTCAGTATTGTTAAGAAGCTGAAACAAGAAGAGAAACACCATTTGTTCAATGTGTGACTTCTATGACACACTGTATATTCTAATATGTGTTTGCATGCATATATTTATAAGTTTAGTGTTTAAATAAGAAGCACATCAAACAAACTGGGAAATATTTTTCAAAAAAGCATTGTTCCTGAATGTGAATTTAATTGTTTTTTTTCATCTACAATCATCCCAAGAGGGGGCAAAAAAATACAATACAATAAATTAATTTTTATATTATCAATTTCCTTTATACATTCTAAACATAAACCTAACTATAACTACAAAATTGAGGTAAAAAACAAAGTCAATTGTACATATCACAAATACTTTATTTATTAATGACCATGGTTTTGCCAATAAAGGCATTATCAAGTAGAGAGCAAAAAGGTTTGTAAACAGGTTTATATATGTTTAACCAAACAACGAGAACTAACCTTGACATTCATAGTGAGACAACCTTAAGTTGGTGTGGTTCTTTAGAACTTTTTCTGGATTTGTTATTAATATATGAAGTATTTGTAAAATGTACAATTGGCTTTGTGTTTTTTCCTCAATTCTGCAATTATAGAGTTTCAGCAAGTATCGATTAAACAAACTATAACTTGTATTCAGAGTAGGTTTATAGGTACATTTGTTACCTGTAATAAATGTTGTATACTAAATAAGTATTTTGCATAGGAATACAATATTAAATTTTTCAATATGCAACTTGTTTTTCATAAACAGGATTTTCCATCAATATATCAGCCTGTGGAACCAAAACATAGCACACCTACAGCTTGGGGAACCAGTGATGATAACTTTAAAACTAGCTATACTTGTTCTTTGCTTGAACAGCCATCTTTTACCATTGATGTGTGTAATGTAATTCCTATATCTGCAGTATTTGTAGAAAAGGTCAATGCTTATTTCAAGGGTAGCGATCATTCAAGGTAAACATAGAAAGACTTCTATAATATGTGTAAGCAGTAAATTCCAATGATGTAAATAAACAGATTTCTGATTCTTCTAGTAATCTTTTATAATATACATGTGATCAAAACAGTACATAGATTTGTAAATTTTTGAATTAAAAATTGCTTATGATTTGAAAGAAACAGTACTCATGTATTTCTGACTTTTTCATTTCATTGACTACTTTTGTTGCATGTGAAATTGATAATAATTTTCAAAGGTATAACATATGAATATTTGTTTTTCAAAGGTATAAAATATGAATGTTTTTTAAAGTTGTTACAAATTCAATACCTTCAGGTGTCGTGTAAAGCTCTGTGGTAAACTAAAACTTGAATTTTCTGAAACAACTCTTCTTCTGTTGGAAAAACAGTCAAAATTAAACTTGCCTGTCCTGAGATTATACCGAACTGCAAAGATCATTGACATACACCCCAACAGGAACTGTGTTACTGGGTAAATATATATATATATATGTTTTTATTTTTGTCACCATGTAAAAATATAGCTGTTGTCTATTAACATGTGAATATTATTTAAGTATTTGATTATTGCTTAGAGTTCTTGTCTGTAGCTTCTGATTAATGGGTTCACAGTAGCTGATGTTTTCATTATCATATGCTTATTGTTTGAAGTATTGTTCATGTATTTAATGTGTGATTAATATTTAATGAACAGTTCAAGTCTGTAACGCCTGATTTTTTCTGGAGAAGTTATAGTTTGTAATACCTGATTTTTTCTAGAGAATAATTCTTTTCTTTATAACATCTCATTACTGAGATAACATTTCAAAGCTGTTGTTTTTACTATTACCTGATTATTATTTAAGAAACAGTTATGGTCTTTTTTTTCACATCTGATTATTTAGTAAGGAGTGGGTGTGTGCTTTATTATTCTGTTTGCTTGTTAAAAGAGGATATGCTGTTATTATTAATGTGTAGCTAGTGTTCAAATAATTTTTGTTATTAAACAAAAGGTTAGACGATAGGCTATCTGTGCTTTGCTCACTAGGATGCTGTTTAGACATACCCTCATATTTCCAACATCTTCTATTAGTGTTTTTTAAATTGTTTTCACATATTTCATGCAGAGACAGAAAAAAAGAAAATTAAAGGGTTTTGATGCCTTCACGCATATATTATTTGTAGTTGTCTGTTCATGAAAGCTTGAGTAGAATCAGTCTATCTACAATTCTGTACAATTCAGGTATAAAAGCTCTCAGATTGTGCATTAGTAATCCTACCATTCAGAAGCACTCAACTAATGTCACTATGAATGTCCAGAATGCACAGTCAGACTTGACTTTGTATTTCAAGTATGCACACTAGGTGTCATTTTTAATTTTAAATGAATTAAACAGTCAAACTTGTTTCCATTATATTTTTCAGAGTGCCTCAGCACCTTTCAGGTGAACAGTTCTCTCTTAAGCTTGACATGACTGGCATCTTAACTGTTTTAAGGAAACCAGATCAGCAGAAGTCTTGTAATGATTCTAATTACATGGTGGACATTCTTCAGTACAATGTATGTATAATATATGTGAATATGTTTTCCAACAGAGTGTGGGTATATAATGAATTACGCTTGTATTTTTTATGTAATGTATAATGACTGTTCATCGGTATAGGCATATTAAATATGATTACTGTGGTTGAGTACAATTTCGATATACATGATGGTTGTACTTGAGTACAGTGTAAATATATTAGCTGCAATGGTTATTCTTCAGTGTTGAGATTGACCAGTATCTTATGTTGATAGAAGTTTACTGAATGTTTTCATATTCTTCAGTTTTTCTAACTTTAGAAGGGTTTGTAAGTTTATAAATATTGAAATCTGTGTCTGTCTAGAGATAAATGAATGTTGATGTATGTTGAACTGATAACTACAAAGGTAAATAATTCATTGAATGCATACATTTTCTTGCCGGTACCTACTTAATTTTTCATCATTTGTTAAGTGTTTGTTGGTACAATTTTTCAGTATCATGTTTTAACAGCTAGGTAATTGTAAACTTTTCTTATTTTTTATTGGGTTAATCTCTTGCTTTTGGAATTATTACCTGACAGTTTTTTATTGCTTTTGTTCAAATATTTTGTTGAAAAACAAATTAGGATGAATATTTTATAAATATTCCAAATTTGGCATAATAAATTTCATTTACTCCAAAATAAAAATAAAATAAATTCCTATGGAGATTTAATACACTTTGATAAATATGTGCTTATCATTTCTTAGGAAAAAAAACACTACATTAATTTTATTAATGTTCTATTGTAATCTTCTTAACATATCAGTCTTCTTTAGCTTTTTTGGTTACTATTCTGACTTAACCAATCTTCTGTGGCAGTGCCCTAGCATCTTTGGTGACCTGTATAGATCAACCAATTTTCTGTATTAACCTTCTTCAGATTATTAGTTTTCTTTGATAACTGTTCTGGATTCATCAGCTTCTTTTGCAACATTCCAAGGACAATGTTGTTTTTTGTAACTATCCTGTTTTAACCAAGATCTATGTTAATTCCCCTAGGATCAACATTCTTCTTCTGGTAACCCTCATAGATTTACAAGGTTTCTGTGTTAACCCTCCTCAGGTAGTTAGTCTTCTATAGTAACTTTTTTTTGTGTGTTAATGAAGGTCCTATGTTAACTTTTCTATGAAAATCAAGCTTTCTTTAATAACTTTTGGAGGATGAGAATTAACTATACTCATGGGGTAGACTTCTAGTTTACTCAGTCTTCTCAAATAATTTTCTGGATAGCTATGTTTCTCTGTGAATGCCCTGAAGATAATCACTAATTCTGGTAATCCTTGTCAGTTGACCAGCTTTCTCCTAAATACTGAAAAACACTTCCAAATACATAGTGTAAGTTTCCTGGCAAAACATGTTATATGATTTGTAAAATATAAATATTGCATAACACTTTTGTAATCTCTTTCTCATAACATAGATTAAATCCAGTCCTGGTGTCAGAAATGCTCCTCTTCATATGAGTGTAGTGTGGAAATGTGAAATGGCAAAGACCGAACTTTGTGTTGAGTACAAATATAATCCATCAGCCCTGGCCAGTTTGGTATCTATATCAGATATCTCAATATCAACCTCAATAAGTGGAGGAGTGACAAAGATGATTTCCAATCCTTCTGCTCTGTGGTAGGATATATTCATACTAAATTAATTTTTTATTGTGTAGAATATGACCATACAATGTTAATTTTGCTGCTTTCTTACAAGACTTCTATATACAAACAGGATTCACACAAGTCATGAAAATCCTGGAGAGTCATGGAATTTTGTAAAAAAAATTTTTCATTACTGGAAGTCATAGAAAATCAGTTTTTAGCGGAAGGCCCTGGATTAGTCCTTGAAACTAACCCATCTCTCTCACATCCCCTTTTTTTATTGATGAAAAGCCATACCATTTTGTTTATCTCAGTTTTGCAAAAATCAATCGCCAGGAAATGTAACTCATAAAATAGGAAATATGTTGACTTGTCCACAGTTATCAGTAACAGGCTTTGAATTATGTACCCCCATCTGCAAACAAATAGGTTTTATATGACTGTTGTTGGTATTGTATTGTTAGCATTAAAAAAGCTAAAGATTCGTTTGGTTTGGCAGAATTGTCAAATCATAAAATTGTTGATAGGTTAAAGACAATGGATGTTTCAGAATTTTCTTCCTAAATCCTTCTAAATTATAAACACTTCAAAAATAATTACAAACTTGTATCCTAAGCTCTCCATCAGTTATTGTTTAATATTTTTTAATAAAGAGAGAGAGAAATGCAAATCTAAATGGCAACAGTTTAATAGAATGAGTGTCATGAACCTAACCACCATGGATAACCTAGTCAAATATTTGCCATTAAAGAAAGCCTGTCAGTTATAACCTGATTAGGTCACCTGTTATTTATCCAGTGATTGATGTAGGCTGGATTATTTTGAGTGATATTTTGGGCTCCAATACTAAACATTTAGGAGACAATCTTCTGCTTTTAAAGGACAGTCAGGACTATGAATACAGTATTATGATATAGGTTATTAATATTATTTAATCTATTTGTGTTCTTATTAGTTTTTCGTTCACATCTAAAACAAATAAAATTTTTAAAAACTGGTTCATGATTTTTATTGTAATCATTGTACCGTGTGTTGACTGATATGCATGGCAACATCTTTGAGAATAAATTAAATTATTCAGAATGATTATTGTTTTAAATATCATCTAAATGTGTCTCACATTGAAAATTTTATTGAACTACTATTTTATGAATGTATGTCAATAAGTTTGGTATCAATTGTAGATTATAATTCAGATTTTAATATTATACATTAGTTAATTTCTTAATATATATAATTAAATATTAAAAAAATCCTAAATATTGGTTTTTTGTGTGTCACATGGGATGTTGAATGCAGCTTTGGTTCAAATTATATGTTTGTGATGTTCAGATACAAACTCAAATTACAAATATTGACAATCTAGAATATAAAATAAGAACATCCTATCTTTTCTATTTTCTAAGAAATTATTATATTTAGTGAATAAACCAAGGTGGCCCCTCCCACATCTTCCATTTTTGGAAATACTTGCTTATGTACACCTACTTCGCTCTCTGACACATGTATAACCAATCAAAAGCTCAGAATGTCCCCCACGTGGTTTTCTGAGCCTCTTGAAGTGTTTACATGGGAAAACATTTCTTTTCATGGTAGAATCAAAGCAGAAAAGTAACATGCTAATGGAGCTCAAAAAATCATATTTTTTAACCCAAATACAGCTTAGTTACTAAGCCTGATAAATAGTGGATTTCTATGGTATTGCTATAGTAATTTATGATTTTTTTATACCAAAATGCATATATAAAACAAAAGATGCAAAATTTGTAAAGGCCAGTTTTATGCTGTTGGATATGGTAGCATGATTGGACATGCCCTGCATCATTGCAATTTCTGTAATGCTAGTCAGACACAACTGAAAGTTCAATAAAATAAAAATAATAAATATATATATATATATATAGATGTGTAATTTTATGAGATTTAAGCTATTCAGACTAAACATTTATGGTTTCATGTTATAATTTGTAATCATTTTACAAGGAAAAAAACATAATTTATATCTATTTCCTAATTTTTTATGATGGTTACGAGGTTGGTCAAATTGACCAAACCCATACAGAGATAGAATAGTGAAAATAACAGATAAAATATAACTGCTGCATGGTGTATGGAATCCGCCCACCCATAATAAAAGGATTAGATACCTTGTTGAAATATAAAGATATTATTGACCCATGATATTTCTAGTTCTCTGTTAGGTGGAATGTAGATATGTGGTAAAACTATGGAATATACAACATTGCTACTGTGTGCAACAGTATGTGAATGGTTGCAGTAAAAATGAGTTTGAATCTTTGCTTTGTTCAGTTGGTTGACATGGTAACATACCATTATTTTATATTTAGCAGTATTGAACAGTTGGCAAGTATTATTTGGTTTTGGTTACATGCTAAACAAGGTTTTAGCTCCAGCCAAAGCATAGAATGTGTGAGAAAGATGTAAGATTTTATCATTTGTTATTAACCTAAAGTTAGCAAAAAGTTGTGTACTTTGAGAATGGTCACACGAGTGACCGAAACATTGTACCTGTTCTAAATACAAATCTTAATTACTTTAAGAGCTGTAACTTGTAATAAAAAAGTTGACAAAAATTGAATTATACTTAGAGTACTGTAAATGGTGAAGTATTTGTTTGTGTTTTGTTCAGTATTGCACAGTTATTTATAATTTCTTTTAAGAACATGTTTTGTATTTATCTTTTGCTTAATTAGAAATTTTTTGATAGCTTAGGTGTTACTGTTATTGCTAGAACATTTTTTTACAGCTGTTACTACATTTTTTATAAAAATATAGTAAAACATTAGTTGTTTCACTGTGATGGAGTTTACATTCTCTTAAAATCTGTAAATTAGGTACTTGAAAATGTCAGTCTAGTCCTCAAAACGGTCCTGGAATATTTTTTCCATTAGCCTGTGCATATCATGGTGATAAATTTTTGTCATATATGGGCTAGACTTTTAGGCACTTTTGCAGACTTACATCTCCTAAAGTTTTATTTTTCTCAGAATATATCTTTTCATCATATAATTTTTGAGCTCTCAAAATATCATTTATATCAGTTATCTTGTGGGCCTTCCTCATCAAGAAATTTCATAAATTTTTTTCATGATTAGCACATTCCATATTACAGAAATAATAATTAATCTTTTCTCCTTTCTCTAAACATCTGGCTTTATTTTAACCTTTATCCTTCCACTTGTAGCTCCCCTTGAGTTTATTTTAACATATTTTTGATATTTTTACCCATCTGATTAATAAGATTGAAGCTGTGTACATAATATACTTGAAGTTTACAGTTCAACACTTATATAACAAATAAAAACTGCTAACCAGTGACCACACATTCCATCTAGTGCTTGATCTCTTCAATTTGAATGCACACATCTAAATTAACCATTCATCTGAAACCTTTGCATCTTCATGATGTAAATCAGATGCTGAGTGGTTTTCATCATATATTTCCACTAACTCAGCTATAGTCCCCCGGTGGGACAGCAGTAAGTCTTCAGTTTTACAACCCTAGAATCAGGGGTTCAATTCCCCTCAGTAGACACAGCAGATAGCCCGATGTGGCTTTTGCTATGAGAAAACATGCATACAACAACTCGGCTATAGGCTCACATGTAACAAAATAATTATTCTTAGTGACAAGATAAACTACAGGATGAATGAAACAGTTTCATTTCTTCATGTCCTAGTTTTTTCTGCATACAACTTCCCAATGCTTCCATGTAGGAACAGTGAAGTTTTCTTCAGTTTTTCCTCTCAAGTTAACTTGTTATAAGTGTTATACACAACAGTAGAAAGCACACTAAATGCTTTTTATAACTAATGCATAAAATACCCTTTATTTTATTTTCATGTATAAAAACTTCAGTTGGTGACCCTGACTTCCTGACACTTTTGTGGAATCATAACACTTACAGAAATATAAGTAGTTCTGATAAATTGTAGGACATGAAACATTACTTTTAGATAATCAATAACTATTTTGAAATGTAAAAGAAAAGCATTTGATAGCTAAAATATCTCTTGTTCCCATATGGAAATATTGGCAAGAAAAGGTTTGACAAATCAATCTTTGTATATTCTAATATTGTGACATTATTTTTTTTAATATTTAAACATACTTCTTATTTTACATTGAGTATTACCAAGAAGTACTCCACTTGCATTAGAAAAAAAAATAAGGTAATATCTCTAAATGAGTATCCATTTGCTGCAAGGGCAGGTATTGCCTAGTGATTAGAATACCAGACAGTCAAACCAAGACTCCATGATGTACCTTCTTTTTGCAACAAAAAAAACGACTCACTCCCCACTTTGGGGTCACAGATGCATTACAAGTGTGACAGTCAAATACATTATTTGATTAAAGTAACCCAAGAATTGGTGCGAGTGCTATTGACTAGCTGCCTTTCTTGTAGTCTATCAATTCAGATTTAGAGATGGCTAATGCAGATATCTCTTGCGTAGCTCTGCACAAATATCCAAAACAACCAACCATTTAATGTATTGAAGATGAATATTATCTTGAATTAATTTTGCAAACATTTAGACAAGCTTGATATATATTATTTGAATTGATGAAAAGCTTGCTATGTGTATCATAAAGTTGTAGTCTTCAATAATTTTAGTAAATGCATGTCAATTTCCCTGATTATTAAAAGCTATATAGCCATCACTCTTCAGTTTGGGATCAATTGCAACATTCCAGCATTCACAACATAAATTATATCAAAATCTTCTCAAAATGATGTATTATCTTTATTTGGGGCATCAAAATAAATTATTGTTCTTTGAAAAAAAAAAATTAACACCTAAAGCAAGAAAATTTCCTTTGTTGTGCATATTTATTTTTGTTTAGTGTAGCCTAACTCTTTTATGAAAAAAATGGCCACTCTCTCATGCTCAAGCTATCAACAAACTAAAAAATTGTTTTGTTTTTTACCCAATTAATCTTGAGAGAAAAAGCTCTCTTTCCTTATAAAAATTTAGAATATTTCTTCTTGTACTGTTTGCCAGTTCCACAGTTTACCAAATAAATTTACTCTCTGTTGCATATATATTTGTTTCACTCTGTAACATGGAAACGTTTTATACCTGTATTCTTTATTTTCATTATGTAGTTTCTTAATGATAACTACATGATCTCTTAAATTCCTAATTTTAACACTTAACCTTTTTAATCAAATCTTTATTATAAAATTGACTTGAATCAGCCAAGTTTTGTAATTAATAACTGAATTACAAAATAATGGTGTTTGACTTTTCTTTGCATTTTGATGGCTGCTCTGTCCACTTTTTAGTGTATACTTCCATTTTGCAATAAAATTTGAACTAAATTACCTTTATTCTACAGATAATAATAAAAGCTTTTTATTTCAGCCAATTTTTCCCCATTGTGACTACATCAGGGCTAGTAGTCTGCTTCCATTATTTTTCTTGATGAGTACCATTTCCTTTCTGAAGGTAGATCCATCATGACATTTTGTGTTTTTTTTTAATTTCCCTTTAACAGGTAGGTCAAGTGCAGCACAATGGTTAGCATGCCAGGTAGTTCTGTGATTCATACCGTGTTACTGCACTTTGGGGTCATTGGGTACATTGTACAAGTGATGGTCATATCCTGCTATTTGATTTAGATTAGATTGCGAGTTGGTATTGAGTGGTATGATCTAGATGTCTTCCCTCTGGTCTATCACTTGAAGATGAGAGATAACTAGAACAGATACTCTTCAAGTAGATTTGCTCAAAATTAAAACAGACTAATCCTTTAATGGATAATGTCTTTCAATTATTAATCTAGTCCTTCATTTTCCCAAATTTTACAATTATCAGCAGCAGTTGATTTGCACTTTGCACATTTCATTATAGAAGCTAATGGACATTTATAGAAAACACCTTTATACATTTGCGAATAACATAGCAAGGTTGTTTTTCAAAAAAATGGTTTTAGAACTTCATTTATATTTTCCTTCTTTGAATAAAATAACTTAACCTTTTTTTCTCTGTGTTTGTACTGTTTTAACTCTCATTTTTTAGTAGAAAGTATGCCTACAAACTTAACTTTTTTTTTCTCTAGTAGGATATGTTTGTACTGTTTTATTTAACTCCTCCATCTTGAATTATGTATTTAGTAGTTAATTTGATCCTTCTTTTGACAATTTCTCTGTCAGCCTTTGATCTTGTAATTAATTTTCTTTAAGTATATGGTGCAGTATGAGAAAGCTCATTAAACTGCAATGAATGACATTTTTTCTTATAGTTATAAAATAACTATGTGAAACTTAAATAAAAGAAATATAAATATTTGTGTATGTCTACTTGTTACATTTTCTTACACACTGGCAGACTTTTACAGAATATGTAACATAATGTGAAATGGGTAAATAGTATATACTGTCTTTTTGGAGTTTTATGATAAATAAATTCTTCGTGATGTTAAAACTGATTTATATAACTACTTCAGGAAGTCAGATTGTCAGCAGATTACCTGGCATATATCTGACTTGTCACATCATTCAGAAGGAGGAGGAATGGGATTGTTGCAAGCCACCTTTGATCTTAGTTGGGGACCTTCTACACCCAGCCCACTTTTTGCAAACTTTTTCTGTCAAAACACTTCTTTGTCTGGTGTTGAATTGGACTTGGCTGCAAATAGTCTAGGATACCAGCTATCACAAGTTGACAATCGTGTGGAATCAGGTAGGGTATTATCCATTATATATCTTCTATATTTGGTGTACAATTAAAGTTAGTTTGTCTAGGTTACCAGCTATCACAAGTCAACCAACTTGTGAAATCAGACAGATCATCATCTTTCATAACATTTCTTTATTTGGTATGAAACTAAAGTTAGTTAGTCTAGGTTACCAGCTATCACAAGTCAACTATTTTGTGAAATCAGAGAGGTCATCATCTGTCACAATACTTCTTTATTTGGTATGAAACTAAAGTAGTTAGTCTAGGTTACTAGCTATCATAAGTCAACTTTCTTATGAAATTATTTTATGTAGATGGTTAATCTGAATTACAAGCCAGGTAAGTAAATTTGACAGAATGCTTTTCTCTTTGGTGTCAACATAGGTAATCATTCTTGTCATATCATAGTCACATTCTTGTCAAATCATCCCATAATGTAGAACTTCCTTCACAAATTCAATAGTTATTTACTTCAAAATATACTAGACTGCAGCTAGTTTTCTTAATTAGTCATTTATGGACTTCAAATCAAAGGTGTGTACAAAATGAAGGTCAGATCTGTCTCTTTTGTCTGCCACAAGTCACTACTCAGAAGGTCTTTCTTTCAGTAGTAGAACTCAATAACTGGGCTAGTCCATGATGTCAGCTAGAAGCCTATCTAAAAATGTTAATATATACCCAATAAGAAAAATGTATATTAAAGTGTTGAACGCTAAATGCTGGAAAAACAAAGAAACTGGATTGCAATTTTTCTTTATTTTCACATCAGTTATTTTAAAAGCTTTTCTGCCATTGTTTATGAATGATACAAATGAACTTATGTTTTGAAAGATCGTATATATATATATATATATTGCAAAACCTTCACATGAATTTTAGTAATTCTGTCTATGGAGCTCTCATTTCCAATTTTATTTGAAAATTGTCTTCACCTGACAACAAGCTTTTCAGTGTAGTCCAATTATTTTTTCTCTGTTTTCAACAATGAAATTATGTTAATCTCTTTAATACTTTTATACATATGTATAAACACTTTATACTTGCATGTTTTTTCTGTAATTTCTAGTTTAATATCTTATTTATGTGAACTGTTACCCTATTCTGAACAGTCAAAATAATTAGGAATAGTTAGGTAAAATTCACCTAGTTCTACATATTAAAGTTATTAACAAAATTTCACATAAACTGTCATTAAATAATATACTTTGAGGTAACTAACAATATTTACATGTTGTGTCAACATGTTTTAAATTCACAGCCTACAAATAAGTAAGTAGACACCCACTCCAGCAAGAATCCCATTTATTAAATAAACAAAGGGTATAAAATTACCATTAGTATTTAATGGATCTGCCCTTTGCAATATTTATGGCAGAAACACATCGTATTTACAAGATATGAAATCTGGGTCTGTTTACTTAAAAGTTGGTTCTTTAGGACACTTTTACAGACCTACAAGGTATTATTTTGTGACTCGGACTGAATGAGCAGGAGCTCTCACTTGGTTCTTTAGGACACTTTTACAGACCTACAAGGTATTATTTTGTGACTCGGACTGAATGAGCAGGAGCTCTCACTTGGTTCTTTAGGACACTTTTACAGACCTACAAGGTATTATTTTGTGACTCGGACTGAATGAGCAGGAGCTCATACTGCATGAAAAGATCACCTTGTCTGGTAAGCTTGTTCTAGTGCAGACAAGTAGAAGGCTTTGCTATAGAACTGCTTTGTATTAAGTAATAGTAGTACCCATCCCTTCTCGTACCACCACGTGATCATCTACCTGCCATAATGGCACGCACACTGTAACAGAAACATTGTTGTGTTTTGTTGTGGCTTTTGAACAGTTTAACAAAAGATCCTGGAAGGATAGTCACCAAATTGAGGTGTGTTCATTCTTCAAGAGTTGTGCAAGCCTGAACATGTGGTAAAGACTACAGTCCCAAAAGTCAGTGGAGTGTGATAATGTGTATAATGCCTACATGTGATATAGCTTAAAGTGAGGAGTGACTTCTATCTAGCTACTCTGACATTGTAGCCATTGCTTTAAAGGTAAATTCTGATGATATTGGGGGATGCTTGTAACATTGTACAACAGTAGTGACTGTTTGATGTGGGTCATTTTCTACACTTTTTTTCACACCATGAAGAGTCTGATCTATTGGTTTTCGGTGCCCAGGTTGTGCAGAAACTGCTTTTTTCTGATATTACTGAACATGCATTGTCACCCTATTCATTGTGGATAGTAGCATTTCAAGTGATGTAGCAATTTCTCACTGACTTTAACCCCCTCCCATTATCCAACTCTAAAACTTTGTGAATATCCAGATAATTTTAGGGATCCTTTCATTCATGCCATAATTGTGTGTTTTCTATAATTGTTACAAACTGTACCTCTTTACATGTTGGTTTTATTTGTATATGATGCCATGAAGATGGTTGTGTTGTATTATTGGGATTTTCTGTTTACTTATTAGTAGGCTGGATGTATGGAGAATTGTTCATGATCTGTATTGACAATTTGCATATCCATTCATTTTCCATCTTGTGACTCCTGTTGCCTATGACTACTCAGGTTTAAAAAAAATGACCTTGTTGCAAATTGGTTGAAATGTGGTTATTTTCAAATGTAGATGGCACCTCTATAAAATTCATCTTTTTCGGAGTGTTACATTATAGTATTTTATGACACTAAGTTCTCCTATTCTATGATTATGAAAGTCACTAGGTGTAAAATTTTAACATTCCAAAGACAGAGAGATCTGTAGTGTTGAATCTTATCAGTAAAATAAAATAAAGGTGTGATTCCAGCAGGAAAAAACTGGCTAATCTATAAGTAAATACTAGTTGCTCACTGGAGATAGACAAGAAAGTTGAACAGCTTTTCACAAAAGTAACTCAGGAACACACTAGTCCATTGCAGCTAAAGTAAGGACTTCCTTTAAAATTCTAAACAAAATAATTTGTAAGGAATTAGATCTGTAAAATTGACACTAGCATTGTTCACAAATCTCTCTCAGAGCACATATCCAAACAGAAAACCAACTGTCGAAAGCTGTATGAGTGGTATCTGGCATATGACAAGTAAAAGTGTACTGTCACATTTAATTAAGTATATGTCTGCTTAAGTGACTGTATCAAAGTCTAGTCAGTTCATTATCATCCTGCTGGTGATACATTTTTAAAATGTTGCAAAGGTGGTTATTTATGGTGGTTGCAGGTTACGGCTACAATTGTTAGTTAACTTCCATACCATGAGTGACTATCATCTTTGTATGGGCCAATAAGGCTCCTTCAAGCATAAACAAGAATTTGTGCTATATCATGTGAAGTCAAAACAATTAAGTCACCAGATGTAGCTCCCATAGTCTTGCTTCTTTAGGTTGTTCAAATGGACCCTTGAAAGTTGTGTTGACACAGATGGTTCATGGATATTTTTAAAAGCATGAGAAATGAGACAACAACACTGAACTCAATTTATTATACAAAATATCCTGCAGTGGGAAATGTGCTGCAGAGCAGTATTTTATAACCAAGTCTGTCAATGCCAGGGCTGTAAGGTTTTGACACTCATCCTTGTATCATTACTAAATATCATATATATATATGTGATGTATTCATATGTTGTGTGTCTAATTTCTAGATAAGTATTTTAAAATAATTTCAATTCTAGATGTTAGTCATTAAGATGTACATGATCTGTTAACAAAATCAGAATAATTAAAATGATCCTTGCATGTTTTGTTACCATCTCTGAAATATATACATGTAATTAATCATTATCATATGTCTTATCCCTAATTCCTACATAAATGTCTAACAATATTTGAAATTCTAGAAAGGGAAACTTAACATTTATCTGTCATAAGTTTTGATGAGAAAACTTGTATTAAGTTTTGTAGGTAAATGAATACTGTTTAAAAGTAGACTTAGTGAAAAAAATAACAATGGATTATTACTATCATGTATTTTATAGCTTGTGTTTGATACTAGTATCAGCATTTAAAGATGACCATTAAATAAATTATCTGATATTATTGTTTTTTAATTCATATTTCCTTGTACTTTTTCCTTTCATCTGAAAGCTGAATACATATGTGAAGCTGAACAGAACATCTCCTTTGTGTAAATCATCTCTACCTTAACAACAGTTAAAGCATATGTTTAAGAAAAGTCACTGTTGTCTATTGTTTAACAGGGTAACTGTTTTATTAATCTATGAAACATTTAAAACATGCATTTAAGAAAAGTCACTATTTTCTGTTGTTTAACAGGTTAGCTTTTCCTGTTTGTTTAAACTTTATTTCTTTATAAGATTTTTATTATATTTTATAATTTGGATAAAACATAACAGAAGAGTTAAAACTTTTTCTGGATTAATGGGTACTGATCTTCCAGGCATTTCCTTCCATAAAAATATTATTTTTTTAAAAATTTTATAAAGACTACATTAACACCCTTCACATATGTGATATTTGTTTTTGTTAAACACTTACGTAAATTGTTAATTGTAAAAAAAAACATAGTATTTTTTGTACATGTCATACAAGGTGGCACAAAATCATTCCAAAATTGCTTGACAGATGAAAGGAATTGAAAAAAAATGGAGTAAGCCATTGTGTTTATGTTAAAATAAACCTGAACACCCACAATTCATAATAAATAAACTGTCATATATTTCACAAAGAAAAAAAAGCAATTGGAACTTTGATTCCTGTCTGACAATGAAATGAGATTCAAAAGAGCATTGGATAAAATTTATCACTTTTAGAGCATCATTGTTATGATGGTCTGTAATAAGATACAAACTTAAGTAATGTTAACTTGTCTTTAAACTCTTCATGCACACAGACAATTTTGTGTAAAAATTCTATTATTTTATTATCATTAATGTTTTATATATAAATATTGTTTTTAATTTTTTCTTGATTTCTATATTATTAAAGTTTTATTCTGTTGTGATTTATTTTTTGGTTATATGATTTTGCCCATTGTTAACAATCATCTAGTTTTATTTTTACAAATACAGTGCTGTAAAAATTAATTATATTTTCTGTTCAGTATTATTTCCATATGCTGTAATAATACTTTTGTTACACACTGCCCACTTTTCATCAACATTTAACTGTTTATGAATGGTATTTTAGTGTAATGTCCTCAGGGTACACATATGACTTGACCATTGTTTATAATATAAAAATTAAAGTATTTTTTATCATCGTATTTTGCAACTTTATATATGAAATTTAAGAAATGTAACTGTCTCAGAAGAATAGGGTGTTATTAGTTTACATTTATATCAGTATATATGTAGAGAACAGATGGCACATTTCATATATCTTTAGCTATTTATTAAGTGTTTTAGTGTAATATATCACCTTCTTGCTAAGTGTATGCTATTTAGTGATGTTTCCTGTGTGTTACAGGATCTGATACATGGTTTATATTATACTGTATCTGTTGAGCTTCAGATAATTGTACATACAAAGAACAAAGATAAGATTGCTTATTAGAAATTTTAATGCTATCTACATGAATGGATTTTTAACACCAATACACTGTTCTTCTGGGACTGAGAGATAAGATTTCATAACCATATCTATTATATCACACTGCACTTTAAGTGCTTTAGAATTTTTCATTTGAAATAAATTCTTTGTCTCAGGATTTTTCAGACTTATTTTTTCAAATTTTTTATTGAATATATGTATTTTATCAACGAGTTCTTAACCTGTTCTTGAATGACTGCAAGAAATGATGCCAGATGTTACATGACAGTGCCACATGAAGAAAGATTTTTTGCTGCACTACTAACTAAAGTAATCAGATATTCATTCAAAGCAAAAGAAGTTAATCCATCTTATTCAACCATGTTTGAAGAGGTTAAAATTTTTTTATATAACCTTAAAAGTGTTCTAAGCTTAGGGACACGTACATCAAGTTTATTCCTGTGAACCTGAGACTTTTGGATTTATTTCATACATATATAGTCTTTTGCTGATTAATGTATGTATAACTTAAAGTTTAGATGGAAGTGCATATCATATCTTCAACACAATCGTCTCTTGATTTGGTGAATGTAAGTTAGTTTGGATTAATAGCTTAGATCCACTCCATTTTTTGGTAGATATATATCTACTTAGTTATTACTTGATTTTATGTTGTGACTTGTTAGGTTAATGGTTGTGTTTATTTGATCCATTTCATTTTGTATGTAATATATCCTCCTCCTCCCACAGTCTTTACTTGATTTTATGGTGTGATTTATTAGGTCAGTGGTTGTGTTTATTTGATCCATTTCATTTTGTATGTAATATATCCTCCTCCTCCCACAGTCTTTACTTGATTTTATGGTGTGATTTATTAGGTCAGTGGTTGTGTTTATTTGATCCATTTCATTTTGTATGTAATATATCAACACCCTTAAATCAGTCATTAATTGATTGAATTTTATGGTGTGTTTTATTAGGTCAGTGACTGTGTTAATTTGATCCATTTCATTTTGTATCTCATATGTGAGCTCCACTCACTCAGTCATTTGATTTATTGATGTCGTAGCTCAGTGGCTGTTCTTGTTTGGTCCACTCCATTTTTGATGTATATATTAGCTCCCCAAGTCAGTTATTATGTGGTTTCTTTGATATAGTATCAAGTGGTTATGTTTCTTTGAACCATCTACTTTCTTCTCTCTCTCTCTCTATATATATATATATATATATATATATAAGCACTGTACTTAACCAGTGCAGGACTTGTTATTCTAAATGTGCTATTAAGTTATTATACTTCTTTGGTCCACTTCATGTTTACTGTTTATATGAGTTCCCTCAATTAATAATTACTCAGTTGTATGGTTTGTTTGATTCATTTTGTTTTTTCTGTTAGGTTTACATTATATATATATAGATGTAGTTCACTCTTTCAAACACTATTTGCTTTGATTTGGTATTGTATAGGGATTTTTTTTGCTCACCACTCAGTTTTCATGCTTACATTATATTAAGTATCAGCTCACAAGCTTATTCATTACCCGATTTAATGGTATGCACATTGTTGAACGTTATATTTTCCTCATTCCTCTGTTTGTTTTGTAATATTCATTGATTTGCTGTTTGTTCAGTTATTATATATTTATTTAATTCTTCAGTTGGCTATGATAGGTTTAGATTTCTCAGCTCAAATACATTTGATAAAATGTGTAAACTTTTTTTCTTTGTGTAATAATATATTACAGAGCACTATTGCTTTTGAAGTTAGAACAGCATGTCTAATGAAAAACTAGTCACAAACGATAAAAGTTAAAAGAATATGTTTGTGATATGAAACGTAGGTACTGTTACCTGAAAGCACATTTTTATCATACACTATTTTTTAAAACAGACATAACACTATTTTAGTGTGCATGTCTTGGGGTGCTCTTGCATGCTTTAAAACACAATTTTAACATGTGTAATTTTAGCAGCTTATCTAGTCAAAGATGCTTGGAGCACTACACCTTTTTTATGTTTAAGATAATAAAAATAGGTGATGATTTTGTAGGCACATTTATTAGTAGTGCAATTGTTGTTTAAATATCTTTATACCTTAATGTTTGGCACATATATATACTTATAAATGTGTGTCAATTTTAAAAAGTTTATAAGTAATACATATTTCAGGGTCTACTTAATTGCTTTGGATTCTCTCAAGTTCTTTTTTTTTTTTGTAATTTTTTCTTGTGATCAATTTCACAGCCTTTGTGACTTCAGATTTTTTAAAATAATTGGTTTACTGGAATTATGAAACTAAATATTTCTTGGCATGTTTCTCAATTGAAAGAAAGTTTTGGAATCTATCAGATTATGAAAAAATTACAATAAAAATATCTTTTTAAAAGAAGTGTTTAAGAGATTATAAGCTTGTGAAGAATAAGTAAATATAATTATTTTGTTCATGTGGGTATAAATTATTAATATATTTCCATATTATTATATAGGATTTTGTTTCATTTTCAACAGATCTAGGTAATGATTATTACAGATGTTGTTTGTAAGTTAGGATGTATCAACTTATAAAACAGTTAAGGTTACTCTGTTGATGGTAAGTTTTAATTGCATCCTTAACACTAAATAGAGAGTAATAATCTATTAAGAATTAGATCCCCATTGAGAGAAAGGTTGTATATTTAACGTAGTTTCCTTCTCTTGAGTGAAACAAGAATAAATGAGAAGAAGCATGTAATTGAAAAAGTATTCAGTATTGATATCTTTGAAAAGCAAGATTAGGTCAATAAACCAAATTCCTTGAGTGCTGTCACATGTGTCGATTATCTTCTGCTTGTGCAGTAATAAAACCCAACTTGTAAAAAAAGGGTAGGGGAATACTATGTGTGATATTCACAAAGGCATTTAAATGAACAGCTATGATGAATATATATATATAACAAGTTTTATTTAAATATGTAGCTGTGGTAGCAGGTTATTTACAATGTTTAACAGGTTTAACTTAAAGTTAGATGAATCATTAAATAAATATAGTAAATTATACAAGGTAACAGTTATGATCGAATCATTTAATGAATATTCAATTATAATAGATGCACAAATAACTTGTTGAATGATACCATAAATTACACATCACATTTTACTCATAAATTGCATATAAAAAAACCATTGTTCTAGATGTAGTTACTATATTTTAAACTATTGAAATGATTATATTCAGCTTGAACTTTCATTTACTTTTGTTTGGGTAATATTAAACAAGTTTTATTTTTCCTCAAAGATTTACTAAAAATATTCTGTGTGTATATTTTGATTATAATCATTTATTCTAGTGTATTTATATAGTAAAACACTGTTTTTCTTACAAAAGTCAATTATGTATGTTAACATTTGTAAGAAATGATTACAAAATGTACACTTAATTTTAGCCAGTCATAATTTTAATTTTTTATTTGTATAAAAATTAATTGTTGATTAAACTAAAATTTTATGATTAATTTTATAAAAATGTGAACATAAATTTCAGAGGTTGGTTTATAATTTTTCCGTGTATATTTAGTTGGAAGGATCATTAAATAAAATAGATATGTGATACATGTCTGTTTTATGTTAATTAACACATACATTCGCTTAGGGAGCCATTGTGTTCATGCCATAAAAAAACTCACAGATTATCAACAACATGGCAATGACTAAACCAAAATGTTTTACCTTATTTTCCTGGTATAATAAATACCTCAATTCTTATAAACTTACAAAGTATGATTTCTTAATATATAATGGGTGTAGTACTAAACCACAGTGCCAGCAATAATTTTAATAATATCAAAATTTTATTTTATTTCTCAGATGAGGCCTTAAAACTGGAAACAATAGTATTTGTATTCATACATGTTTAACTAGTATGATCAAGTATTTTTGGAATGTTGTGGACAAGAGTTTACACCACTGTAATGCAAAAAAATAGGGCCTTTGAGTTTCTTCTTACAATAAAAACAAAACTCAGTTTTACAATTCCAACATTTGATGTGATTATTATTGTCAGATTTCAAGTTCTCCTGTCTACAGGAAGGGCATTTCTGCACATCTTTTTTCCTCTCTGGCTTGTCTTGTAGCACAGCTTTAATTAAAATACTATCCTAAAAGAAATACAAACAAAAGTTACAAATTGAATTTTGAACTCTTAGTTTTTTCACTCATTTCTGATATGCTTAACAGAGAATATGAAGTCCGATGTCATAAAACAAACTACCCAGAACTGAACAGAATTTCTATGTATGATCAGAAAAATTTAGCAACTCAAAGAAACAAGATTTTACAATTCAGTTGAGCAACTAAACTCTAAATTGGACATCAAAATACTGACACTAGAGAACAAATCTGTAAATCTGACAAAAAAAAAATAATATTACCTACTAAGGATCAAAACTTGGAGACAAATCAAAAGTAATCTCTACTAGATACATAAATACATATTAGAATACTTTTAAAATAAAAGTTGTGTCCTACCTTTGTAAGTAGACCTTCTTTGTAAACTGGCATTATAAATGTGTTACATTTTGAATTTGTATCAAAATGAGCATATGAATTAATTTTCTTTCCACATCCCCAGCACATGAAAGTTTTACACTGTGAACATATGACTTTGTTGCAACTGAAATAAATAACATGTTTGTATTTTATAGAACACTTACTCAGAAATTAGTTTAACTTTTCTACTACTATTATGAGATTAGCAAGACAGTAAGAATATAACATCACTGTATGTGATAGTATGCAATCAAATGTGGGTGTTATTTAAGTTTAACATTATATTCACAACAACTGAATATGCCATTTCTGCCTTTTTTTCTTATCAAGTGAAATATAGTTAGCCTTAAAATTACCAACTTGTTTTACCTCCTGCTAGTGGAGTCCACATACTGCATCATCTTGAGTAATTTTGTTTTTCCTGTTACAGCACTCATTGTAAAGAAGTCATAAAATAAATTGGTAAAGTTACTCATTTTATGTGTAAAATGAATAAGAAATCCCTGTCATAATTAGAGGAATTAATTTCTGTGTTGATAATGTTTTTTCTTGCATGGATTATTAAGTTACCAACCCATAAAGAGTTTGTCACATAAGAAGTTTAGGAAATTATATTTAGAAAGCATATAGGATTTTTGTTAACAAACCACTTAAAATTTATTTTGCGTGTTTTAATTTCAAGATATACGTGATAATTATAAAGAAAGTTTTGCAGTTCAGTGCATCATATCTCAAATACTATAACACAGGAAGGTCAAACTGCACTGGAGTATTTAGAGTATCATACAGATGCAAAATCACAGTTGTCACATGTTGCCACTGTGTTGTTTTTTTCATATATTTTCCATGAGTATAAATGGGCCTGTCCATCATAGTGCAGCTTATTCAACCTCCACAACCAGTGGCTCCGCGGTAAGTCTGAAGGCTTATAATGTTAAAAAACCGGAACAATACAGATAGCCCATTGTATAGCTTTGTGTTTAACAATAAACAAAGAAACCTAAGCTATTCTATATTAATGTAATTAAAAACCTTATTAATCACTAGTAATTATGGATTGTTTCATAAAGAGAAAGGAAGGAAAAAGAAAATTTTATAAATATATAAATTTCCTAAGTTTATTATCACTAACCACGTTTGTGCTTAATATGTAGGGATGGGCCGAGAAAAAATGGCCGTCGCTCTATTCACTCTATTACTCTATGATGCTTATAAATAACTTTTAAAGTTGATTTATAGCTTTATTTGAGCACCTAATTGCAATTATTGAGTGTTTCATAGCTCGTGAGACTGCAGAGGGGTGAAAAGAACTGCCACATTGATGATGATGAATGTGATAATCCATGTATAAGCAGACCACTGACACCTACTGATATTGCTTAAGTCAGCCATCCCGTAATAGAACAAGCCAGCACAAATGTACATTGGTGCAGAAATTCATGATATGTCACCTAGAGTCTGGATTTACAAATTTTAACTGTTCATAAGGCACTTTGTGAATGTTTACTTACAAACTGCACCATACTTAAGCACTGAAAGAGACAAATTTAACCCAATACGTTGATTTTGCATTTTAGTTCTTGGCAATTCTGGAAGTCGATGATCAGTGAACTGCCAATATTTTATGGACTGATGAGGCATACCTTACTGTTTCTGGAAGTGTCAACAGGCAGGAAATAGTTCACATGTAACTTTTCCAACACACCTCCATGATGCTAAGGTAAAAATATATGTAGTTTCACAGCTGACTTTGTTGTTGTACCACAGTTTCTTGAAAAATCATCAAGACATGGACTGTAAACCTGCACAGTCACTGCTGCATGATACTGAGTAATGCTCACAACCAGTGTGGTTCCTATACTACTAAGTAATGCTCACAACCAGTGTGATTCCTATACTACTGTTATGATAGTGGAAGTCATGTGATGCTGTTGGTGCGTTGCCGATGGTGGGCATGCATGATAAGTTTCTCGAATGATCGGGGAAGTCCGCGTGTGATTGAGATGCCCTCTTCGTTAGTATTTAAGCCTGGCAGAGAAAGCCAGGATACATATATGAATGAAGAGAGAGAGCAGTAGTTACTTTGAGTTCTGTGTAATTTATGATTCTGTTAGTTTCGAGCTAGTGAGCTGTAAAGTGTGTGTTTTGCACTTGTTGAGAG